TTTGGTTTGAAGCTGTCTCATTGTTATTTTTTTCTCTATGAAATGATGGGTGGAAAAAATGGTCTTCAAATATTTCTATGAGATAGTATCAATCTTATGTCAGGTTGTACATTTAATTTTTCATATATATATATATATGTGTGTGTGTGTGTGTGTATATATATATATGTTTAAAAGACAGAGAAAAAGTAATATAAAGTCAACAGGAAATGGAAATATACTTTTTAAATTTCCTAACACTAGAAGAATATATCATACCATGTCCTTTAAATAAATTCTAAGTCAATGATATAGTATAAATCTTAAAACAAAAATTAAGATTAAGCAATATTCAGAAAATTAAATACTAATTAATTAAAAGTTAAATATTTCAATACAATTGAACTAAGAAAAAGTTTTCATGATTGTAAAAAAGTAATAAGAGTAAAACATAAGAGAGATACTGGAATGGCAAATAAATGACCAGCACTTCCAACAGTTTCGGATCGGATATTGCACAAAGTTTTTGTGTGTCATGGACATGGATAATGTTCATGACACTTACTGGTGGCCAGTTGTCACTTGTGGGACTGAGCTACTGTTATTTCCTTGAAATCTGCCCTGTAGACCCAAGTGGAATCATGAGCCATAGGGTGCAGGAGAAGTCCATTTATGGAGTGTGCTGGTGGAAATATTTTGCTGCTGTACACAAAAGAATAACTGAAAGACTACTTTTGCATACCTCTCATTCTCCTGTGTAAAATTGTTTGCCTTATTTGGTGGGTTCTTTCCATTGTCATTCATGGAGTTGTGATCATTTTGCTCCCTCTTGGGAACATCATTTAGTAGTCTGTGTAGGCTTGGCTTTGTCGTCATGAAATTCTTCAGTTGTTCTTTGTCATGGAAGTATTTCACTTCTCCATTATACTTGTAAGAGAGTTTTGCAGGATGTATCAGTCTGGGTTGGAATTTGTTTTCTTGAAAGACTCGTATTACTTTGTTCCATGCTCTTCTTGACTTGATGGTTTGTGAAGAGAAATCTGCTGTTATTCTGATGGGTTTTCCTTTAAATGTGATCTGTTTCTTCTCTTTAGTGTCTTTTAGTATACTGTTCCTTTGCTGAATTTCTGGGATCTTTACTATTATATGTGTTGGTGTGTTTTTAATTGGGTTGATGTTATTTGGAGTTCTATATGCTTTGTTTAGCTGAATATCAGAGCGTTTCCCCATATTTGGGAAGTTTTCTCCTATAATTTCTGCCCATATTCTTTTTATATCAGTTGTATTGACTCCTTCCTTCTCATTGATGCCTGTTAGTCTCACATTGTTCATCTTTGCATCATCTTGCAGGTATTGAATTATTTTTTTCTTCATCCTAGTTGTTTTTAAGAGATCCTTTCTTACTTTTTCACTAGTTGAAATGGTGTCTTTAACGTCTGAATGTGTGTTTTCACTTTCATTCAACAGTTTTGCCAGCTTGTGATTGAGGTTTTAATTTCCTGTATATCACTTCGAATCTGCTTCATGCATTCTACTTCTTTCTTATATTGCTTATTCAAGGATTCCATCATTTTTATAGTCTGATGTATTTTTTAAACAGTGTCTTCTTTAGAAGCACTTAGTACATCTTTCATTATACTTATCATTTTTTTTTAACTTCAGAAATTATTTCTGATTTGATTTCCTCTATACCTTTCTGCAGTTGTTTCTTTACTTCCAATGCTCTTATTTCAGAGATTTCAAGTGTGTGATTTCCAATTTCTTCTATGCTAGTGTCTTCTTCATTTTTTCTGGGTGGACTTGGGGCCTGAGACTGCATGTTGCTCCTTTTCTTCATCATGTTGTATACCAGTGTCTTCTGTTCTTTGGTGTAGAGCTTAGATAGAATTATTACCTTAGCATCAGATCCAGATGGATGAAGTTCAGATTCCTCCAGGTGGGTGTCGCTTGGGTTTGACTGCTGTGCTCCACTTCTTCCTGCTGCAGCCCTTGGAGGTGAACCCTGTGTGCCACTCTGGCAAGATGTTCTGTTCCTGAATCAGCTGGATGGGTCTTGCCTCTAGCCTCTTTGCAGGTAGTTGTCTTGAAGGGTTCTATGCTTGGCCCGCCCTCTGGGTTGAATGAGGATCCACCGCCCCCGGGCCGTCTCACTTACATGCCGGGCCTGGGCTCTGGGTCCAATCAGGATCCAGTGGGCCCCAGGCTGGCTTCCGCATATGTTGGGCCTTGTCTCTGCGTTGGATCAAAGATAGCATTTTTAATTAATTGTGCTGTAAAAACTGGCTCTGGACATGTTGAAAATTAAAATAGGGCCCATATCTTCCACCAGGCACTAAACTAAATTTAAAATGGATCAAAGTTCTAAATATTAAGACAGAAACATTAAATCTTCTGGAAGATATAATAGACAAAATTGTAGGCAGACTTTGTGAATAAAACCCCAATTGCACAGGAACTATCACAAGGAATCATCAACTGGGATCTCATCTTATGAAAAAAGCTTTTGCACAGGAAGAGAAACCACTAACAGAGTGAAGAAACTACACACATTGTGGGAAAAAATGTTTGCTGGATGTTCCGCAGACAAATATTTACTATTAAGAATCTATAAAGAACAACAACAACAAAAAAAATCAGTCCTCCTAAATTTAAAGACTTAATCCAAAAATGGGCATCTGAGATGAATACACACTTCTCAGATTAAACACAATATCAAATAAATATATGCAAATATGTTCAACATCACTGGTCATTTGAGATATGCAAATTAAAACAACACTGAGATTCCATCACATCCAGGAAAAAAAATGGCTATTCTTAAGAAATCTACCAATAGCAACTGCTGGAGGAGCTGTGGGGGAAAGGGACACTTCTCCACTGCTGCTGTGAGTGCAGACTGGTGCAACGCCTGTGGAAATCAGAGTGGAGATTCCTCAAAAACTAGGTCCAAGTGAATGTCCTATTTGACTCAGCTATTCCCCTTCTGATTATCTTCCTAGAAGAGTTAAAATCATCGTACCACAGCGATATGTGTCCATGCACATTTATAGCAGTGCAACTGTAACAGCTAGAGCTTGGATCTTTGGATCTAGATCCAAATGCCCATCAACCAAGGATTGGATAAAGAATAATGTGATATCATTATACAATGAAGTACTACTCAACCATGAAGAATGGTAGACTGAAGATTTTTATAGGTAACTGGATACAACTTAAGGCCATATTCAAAAGGGAAATAAACCAGATATACAGGTATAAGCAATGTATTGCCCCCCAAGTGTGAGAAGTTTAAAGAGTAAATAAAATTCAAACTGTACAATAAGTACTGTAAAATTGGAAGAAGAAATTTCAAAAAGAGAGAATGGGATGGGGGAATGAAGAAAAGAATGAAGAGAAAAGCAGTATTATA